GATAGATTGTAACAAATAAATTTCTTTTTTGGATAAATTTAATTTACACAATGTAAAATTAAATGAAACCAATTTTAAAAATGATTTAAGATTATACAAAAAATGGTTTGAAGAAAAAATTTGGGGTAAGAACAAAGGAATAAAAAAAAAAGAAAAAGAGACTACAGAGGAGTTAAAGTTGTTTTCTATTATAATTTTGTCAATTTTAGGACTACAAGCTTCTTTTTGGGCTTGTTTTGATCGGAAAGAAGTGCTTTATAACTTTTCTTATGACTGTAGAATAGGTTAATAGAATACTTTATGAGAAATAGTTAAAACTTTAGTAGTGAAGGCCAAAGGCCGTTTTGGCAGTGTTGAACTGTGCGTTCGAAAGTTATAGATTTAAAACTTTCAGAGTATATGTAAAATTAGGAGCTGAGCAAGTTTATTTAAGACAGCAAAGTTGGTTATTTTAATAAAATAACCAGGTATTGACGATTTTAGTATTGACAGATTTTTAGTTATTTTTTGTGTAAAAATGATTTACAGAAAGAGTTTTAATAATTATTAATTAATAATAATAATTATTAATTATCATTAATAATTACAAATACTGATTACAAATACAGATTATGAATGCGGATTACAAATTTGGATCATTAAATCACGTGCTGTATCACATTTGTTATATACATACTAAATACAATACTAAATACTAAATACGATACTAACTAAAAAATTGTATATTACGCTTTGTGCATAATGCTTATACAAGAAATTAAAAGTCAGTTAGGTGGATAAAAAAAAATTAATTTACCGTTTACATCCCACTTACGCAGGATATGTGGGATGTAAATAGTAAATATCAGATTATTAATTTCTTGCATAGTGTCATACACAAAGTGTAATATACCTATTTTGATGTCCAATGACAGGTTTTCTCTTGAGCAAACTTATATAATATCACGAAAATGAAAAACTCTATCTCGCATTTACTAATTTCTCTCTACAATTCTAATTGGATATTAGAAATCTTGTTACTGATTGGCCAGAATCTATCATGAGATTACAATGCTATGCCAATTTTGCCGATTTACATTTTAACTATATGTATGCATCATAAGTTTGTCATAGATTAATTAAAGCTAATAGTTCATGCCCTTCTGGAAGGTTTAATTATTATTAGCTAAGTATTGCTTCAATGATTTATTACCAACTTTACTATTTCTTTATTTTTTAATACTGAAACTAAGTTTTTCTTCAACTTTTCATTTTTAATTTTTATGTGTTTTCAAAATCATAATATAAGATTATTGAGAAATTACAGGAGTATCACATTTTTTATATAATTATCTTTATTATAGCAAGGAGTTTTATCTTTAACTTTTGAACCCAAGATAATAAAATTCAAAGAAATTGAAGGGTTTTATTAATACTTATTAATTTGATATGTAATAATACTATGTATAAGTCCTTAAAATTTTGTCTTTAAAATAATTACTAAAATAATATATTTATATCAATCTTTAGAATTAGAATAATTTACTATATAAGTTCAGTTGAATTAAATAGCAAATTGTTAGAACATTTTGTATTAATTTAAAAGAAAAAATTTAAAATCTAATTTGTTTTCGAAATTTTATATTTGATGCATTTTGAAAGATTTTTGTTACATTGTTATTAATAGTTGTTGGAACTGCTTTGATCTTTGCAATTCTCACTCTTTTCATCTGTACAGTCTGCTGAAGAACTAATTGCAAGCTATAGATATCATCATCTTTTTTGTCTTTCTATTTCAAAGAAATAGCTAAAAGTGTCTCTTATAATTTTTCAAATTCATTACCTTTATTACTTACTTTTGAATTTTCTTGATTTGTAGGAGAATCAGAAAAATCAATAGGACAATTAAAATTATATGATGTTTCAGTAACCTTCTGATTATTGTCATCATGAATATGAAATCAAACTATTATGATAAACATATGCTTGCATGGCAATTGTCAAATTTGAAAGTCATGACAGAAGCAAATATACAATGTGGTATCTAAATTATCTTTGATAATAGAATTTTTTCGTTGAACAGAGTATTTTATATCATTATTGATTATAAAATGCACAATCCAAATACTTAGTTAAATATTGAAAATATTACTTGAGTTGATATGTTTGGTTCTTATGATTTCTCAAATTCTTTGCTGACATTGTCGTAGATTTATTCTACTAGCAGTGTTACAAATCAGAACAAAACAATTAATTGTTTTAAGAGTTTTTGAAAAATTTAGATAAAAATCAGTTATAATTAACTAATCGATTAATCAATTAATTGACTATTCAATTAATTAATTAATCAATTAATTAATTAACTGATTAATCGATTAATTTACAAATCGATAAATAGTTTGTTACAATGGCTTTTGGAATCTTAGTTAAAAAAAACTTTAATTATAAGTTTGATGTTTTTATATTATAGTACTTTGCAAAAGATATAACCCTATAATTTATGCAATGATAATTGAAAAAAATTTTTGAATTCTAATTTGCCTTGAAATAATAAAATTCTTAATATTAAAACTATACTATATAATACTGCTTATAGTACCTGAGGTCTTATTCAAAATTTTGACTTTTAAAATTGATTAATACTGGGTATTATTTAATGATCTAATGATTTCATTAGTGGAGAAGAAAATTTTATGTGGTAGGATACTATTTTTGAAGAATACCATAAGCAGTGCTATATGGTAAATATCCAATTCTTACATAATGTTGTGATTTGCAGATATTATCATTATCTTTCTGCAATTAAAGTTTTTTAGAATATATATCATATAACAATATAATTGCTATATCATATAGCAGCCTAATTATGAGATTGAAGCAACTATCATATGAAAATAACTACTTAATTTGTAAACTAATCGATTAGTTGCCGACTTGATCAACTAATCGATTAATTAATTTCTAATTTGAGACATTAGCTGCCAATTCTTAATTTATTCAAAAAGACTAAAAAATCTAAATCTTGAAGCACAATATCTACAAGAAGGTACACTTCACCATCAAGCCATCAACCTGGCTGCTTCTTTATATATACATATTTCAGCTTGCAGTAAAATGCTTTAATAAGATTATTCATATCTATCATATCTTTTGCAGTTCCTCTTGTACAGATCATCCACTTATCATAGCTCAGTTTCTACTAACATTCAAAATAATCAGCAAAATCTTTTACTACTTTGATATTCATTTCTTTCTATTTATTAATTGTTTCCACAACTTTCTCTATGCCTCCACATTATTCTATTCTTCTGTCTTCATCAAATACAAAAGGTTTTGCCAAACAACTGCCTTGTGTGGATCACCATCTCTGTTATTTAATTTTCAATGTCAAGATCATAGAACATGGAAGTGGCACAGCAACACAGTACAATCAGAAAAGGATTCTTAAGCTGCTTTTATTTCTTCTCCCACATCATCAATCATAAAAATATCTGGACTCTATTTATCATTATGTTCAAGTTACAAAAATTTAAACTATCGTTTTAGTATTATTGTTCACTTGAACTTGCTGATAAGAAATGCAACTGGATATCCACTTTCTGTTGCCAGATGTCTGATAAGAATGATAAAGAGGTGATATCTATGATAATTTATATCATGTATACTATCCAAACATACTACCCTTGCAAATTATGTTAATTTCTTTTGTGCCTTTGTTTAAAAAGCAAATAGAAAACTGTTATTATTACTTTTACCATTGCTGCAATCAAATAAACAACAGTTGCTCATATTTATTATTTTTTCTCTTTATTTTTCTAAAGACCGCAGCTCATTATTATCAAGGTAAAAGCATATTTTTATTATATTGTACACAATTTTGTAAATATCATTTCTAGTAATCAGACCATTCTGTAATTTCTGAACATTTTGTGAATGCCCTGTTTCTAACATCCTTATCTACAATGTTTAAAAATTCAAAATTTAAAACATGCTTATAGGGCATCTTCTTAGATGAGGTTCAAAAAAAAAAAGATCAATGTTGATTTTAGGTTATGAAAAATTGATTATTTTTGTAACCCAGTTAGGTCAAAATTTTAAAAACTTTTACAGCTATTTTCATAATTTTTAGGACACTTGTAAACAATTAGCTAAATGATATTTCAGTCGATCAGGATAAGTTATTATTTTAGCATAATAGATTCAATAAAAACTAATACATATATATGTACATACTAATTTTCATTGAATCTATTATGCCAAAATAATAACTTAACTGGATTGGCTGAAAAATCATTTGGTTAATTTTTTACAAGTGTTCTAGGAATTATAAAAACAGCTGTAAAATAATTTTTTTATGTTTTAACAAATGGGTAAGTTTTAAAATAGCTAGCCAGATTTGTTTAAAGAAATTAAATTTGTGTTCTTATTTTTAAATTTTAATTTTTTTAATATAAGGAAGTTAATTTTATTTAAAATCAAACAATTTGGTTAATGTTTTTAAATAGAGAACATATTTTAATAATATATAATCACAAAAACTGTGTAATTTTCTTTGAGAACACTAAGTGTATTAAATTTTAAACATTGTTTACCTAGTCTTGCAGTTCAATTGCACGATAATACAGAAGCCATTGTATGCTAAAGATGTTAAGCTCTTCAAAAGCACATTGTCGAATGAATTTGCAGATATTATCAGAAAGAAAGAGTGTATATAAGTCAGATAATTGGTTAAGATAGTAATTAATATGTTTATAATAATGTTTTAGGATCACAGTTGGCAAATTTACAGGAAGCATGACATATATAAAGCTCTTGCAGCCACATTTTTTGAACTCTTTTTGTGCTATTTAGGATTTTTTATTGAGATCTTTCCCTACAACACTCTGGTATATACCATAGTGATGGCAATACTATTGCTCAGTTTATTGATATTTTTTTTTTCACCTTTATGCACTTGTCTGTCATGCTGATAATAATTAAGTCCCGATTTTTCTAGGTTGTTTATCTATTTTACATATTCACTAACTAAAATATGATATGTTTTAAATCTCTTATTTCTCTTATTCTCTGAAGACTCTTCTCTATTATCATCATCAACTATTTCTTATACTTGTTCAGTATTATCCATAGCATCTAGAATTCTATCAAGCATATTATCAAGTTCATCATTAATATTAATATCATTATTATTCATTTCAATCTCCTCTTCTTTATCAATATTAAAAATCTCATTGATATTAAGTAGTGATGACATGATTCAGAAAAAAATAAAAGTGATTCAAGCAGTAGAACTAATAAATAAAATATAAGTTAGAATAATAAGTACAAAATAATGCTGCTGCTAGTGAACTACAATAGTTTGATAAATTTTTATTTGGAATACTTATTAGCATTTCTTTTTTTATTTAAAAAAATTATTTTGTTTAAGATATATGATTATTCAACAATTAACTAACATTGTATAATATTTTAGGTCTAATTAAAATGTTTCACTCAATGAACTTATTTTACTCTAAACTTGGAAGTTTGGCTTAAATTCTTGTGAACTAGTAAATAATATTGAAATAAAACATAATCAAATTTAATTTTTATTATTATCTATGCTAATTTTAAATGTGAACTAGTGAATCATATTAGAATAAAACATGATCAAGTTTAATTTTTATTATTATCTATACTAATTCTAAATATGAACTAGTAAATAATATTGAAATGAAACATGATTAAGTTTATTTTCATTATTATCAATGCTAATTCTAAGTATAAACTAGTAAATAATATTGAAATGAAACACAATCAAGTTTAATTCTCATTATTATCTATGCTAATTCTAAATGTGATTACAAATTTACATGACACCATATTCCTGTTATAACTTATTTTATTACAATTTTTAACCTGCATTTGTTGTGTCATTCTCAATTAATACAGTCATGAAACTTCTTAATTGTTAGATACTACAATTGTAAGTAGAAAATTATTATAAAATGTATAAAATAATTTTTTATAATAATTTTTAAAGTCATTTTATTGGGGTTCCAAAATTGAAATCAAAATTTTATGTTTCTTATATATAATTCAACATAGTAAAATACTATTTGAAAAATTATATTTATTGTAAAATGCACTAGATTCAGGTTATCAATATGGTTTTACATGCCAATGCTTATGCTTTTTTTTATATATATTTTTATAAGCAAAATGTAAAAATTTAATATTGCATATGTTTAATTAATTCTAGCTTCAAAGTTATTAGTGTGAATGCTAATATGTATTTTATATTATTTTTCTAAGTTTTTTTTTTATATACAATGAAACCATTTTATTATAATAAATTTAATATGCATTTAGCATAATTAATACTGGGTCTAGAAGTTGTCGATGCAGTTTCATGCATGAATGCTAATGTGTATGATTCATTATTTTTTTAGAGAGTTTTTTTTTTTAATCTATATACATAAGAGTTTGAAAATGCATGTTTTCTATCTTTAGTTAGATGATGCACAACCTGGCTTTTTTTAAAAAATTTTTAAATTAGTTCACTATTTGTTAAGAAAAAGGTTTTAAATTAAACATAATAAGTTTTTGATTTTTTTTTTCAGGGTTTGAGATTTTTAAGTGAAAGAAAAATAATGGTTTTAAATATAGCAACTTAAGTTCGAAATACAGCTAAAAAGTCTGTTACATACATACATATATATGTATGTAGAATCAACAGTCTTATGATCGATTTTGGCTAATAAGCATTAAGATTTCTGATATTCAATTAGAATTGTAAGAAGAAATTAGTTAATGCCTCTATCTTCTACTTAATTATATAAGTAAGCTCATGTAGTATGATAGTTCATTAATTTCAATATCTATAATCAGTAAGTTAAATACTCATATACATATATAAATGCTGGTTAATTTTAATTTATATATTTATATATAAGTTTCTCTTCAAGTTGGCATGCTGTATCAAAAAGTTTTGTCTAGTTGATATATGTGATTGTCAAATATTGTAATTTATATAAAAATTTATAATTATAATCATGTAACAATTAAGCACTATGCCTATCTCTACATGTAATATCTGATATAATAAAAAGCAATAATGAACATTAACATTCATGTTTTTTTTTCAATTAACATATATGCATAATATACATAAATCTGAATTTTATTATTTTTGGCCAGTCCATATTTCATTTGTAATAGCAAAAATCTTTTGTAATAATCTCATATTTTTAACTACATATTAATAGTATTACAATCTAAAAAAGAATTGTTGATACTTTATTCAAATTAGATCATATAATGAAATATTAATATACAATAATTATTAGATATAGCACATATACAGAGCATAATTAGCAGATGTAGCATAATTAGCATAATTAATAGATGTAGTGTAATTAGCATAAATAATAGATATAGCAGATATAGTATATTTAGTATAATTGGTATTTATAGCATAATTGGTATAATTAGCATATAGAGAAAAAGTATATAAGTAATGCACTTGTAATATAAGAGAGACAAGTTTTGTATAACAATTAATAAAGTAACACTTATCTGTAGTACTTACCCAAATCCAACATCTCTTTTGAGTACTATTCCATCTAACATTATGCAAGAGACTTTTGTTTACCCTATAAATAGGTGATTTTAGAAGATACATTTTCCAGACTATAACAATAATTAAAAGCTTAATAATATTCCTTAATATGAAATTTATCTTTTAATATAACCTTTATATTAAACATTCATTTCAATAAAATTTGATTTGTTTAATAATAAGGTTGTCAATGATAAAAAACATGATCTTAAATAATTTATGATTCTTAACAAACAAAACATCAACACAAAAAATTAATTCAGATAGATTTCTAATATTAATTTCTTTAGCAGTTATAAGAATATCTAAAATTAGTCAAATACTAAAAAATTTTTAAATAACTAATCTAAAAAAAATCATATAGTTTAAATTTGTAAGACAATAGTAACATTACAGATATTACTCAGTGTTATGTAGCTGTATTACAGTTTTAATATTTTTTTTAATTTTTTAGCAACCTTGTCAATATCATTTATTAAGAGAATTGCATATTTAATTATATAAATATTAGTTTAATTTCTAAGTTTAACTAATTAACAGAATGCTATTGTCATAATTTAATGCATTGCATAGATAATTGTTCAAATTTTTATTGTTAATAGATTTTGAACTTCTAACTTATTATTTAGAAGGTTAACAACTTATCTACTTTATTAAGTCATTATATCTTTAATAAAAAAACTCAATTATAATAAAAAATAAAAAAATAAAAAAAATAATAATAAAATAGAAAAATATAGTTTGGTATAATAAAAAAGTTTATTTATAATAAATTATAACTATTTATATATATTATACGTTATTTTTAAATTTTGTCAATTATTAATTAATACATGTTATTTTTCAATTGAAAAATGACATACATCATTTTCAGTCAGTATAAAAAAAAAAATTGGCAGAAATATTTGTACATATAATATTTAACCAAAAATATTTAAGTTTATGAAAATCTAATAATAGAACTAAAAATGTTTGCCTTATGTATGATGAATTTTTCTTTCTATAAGAGCAAGATTTAGTATTGCAATTCATTTTTTAGCAACTGCAAAAATTTGGATAAGTCTTTTAACTTGAACCATTATTATTTGCACTGTTACTTTAATTTAAATTATATCAGTAAAGATTTTTTTTCCAACCCTCTTTAGAGAGATGCCATATAATATTAGTTTTAGTAAAATTTTAATTGAAATTCAAAAATTTTATTTTATTTTATTTACTTTGGAAATGTATAAATCAAGTGTTCTTGAGTCATTCTTATATAGTGTTAGATTCAGAAGACTGCAACTCTGTCGCTCCAAAATTCTAAACCTCATGTAATGTATGACAAGTAACCTTTTCGAAAAAGGGTATTAGATTTGGCTTGTGGACGAGAAAGGCTTTCAGTTACTTTGGGTCAACAAATGCAAGTAGGGTAAGTTACGTGTACAAGGGCTTGAATGAACAATGATCGTTATTGGTATTTACAGAATTTATGCTAGGTATAGTGTTAGGGTTTTTATTATGGACATTACAATGTATTGGGGCTTGTTTATTGATAAAGCAAATGAGACATATCATCCCTTAGAGCCATTTCAGCCTTTATTTATAATACTCAATTCGTCACTTACAAATGTGACTTTACACTTATTATTCCTTAAAACTATTTACAGTGATTTATTTAATATCTTTAAGGATGTGTAATTTATTCTCACATCCTCTCTTTATTTCTTATCTATCTTTTTGGATCTGAAATACCATTTCTGATCCTAAATGTAACTTATTGCACTTATTGCATTTTGTGCATTTTTTATGTGATCAGTCACAGTATTTGGTATTATAATTTCTGGTATCACAATAGTATAAATTTTATAACTCGAGTATTAAAAATTATAAGTTTGACATTCCTGAATATTATAAATTGAACATGTAATATTTTGCTTGGTGGAATTTTTTAATATTTTAAGACATTCATTGCAATGTTTTATATCTATCAAACTTCATTTAAATTTTTTTCATTTAATTTTTTTTTATTTAATTTTTTTTTTGTTTAATTTATTTTTGTTTAATTTTTTTTTTGTTTAATATTTTTTCATTCATATATGTTCCAATATTTAATTAAAGTCTCATGAGTCAGAAAAGAATAATTATATAGATTTATTAATAGAAAAAGAAAAAAATATACACATAGTAAAAAATATTTTTCAAAATCTATTTATTTATCATTGGCATCATTAATAAGCTATTATTGATTATAATATGATCTGCATTAAGAATTGACCTGGGTTATTATCAATTAGTAGAATTCGAAAAATAACAGGTATCAATTAATAATTGATGTAAATTGAGAAGTAACATATAACATATATAATCTTATAAACTAGTTTAATATAACTTCTAAATCTGATAATGTCTTAAATAGTACAGCAAAGTATTTTTAAATATTCATAAAAGTAATTAAAAATTACTAAGTCAAAAAATTAAATCAAAATATGTACAAGTTTAGTATATATAAATTTTAATAAAAATTAACAGTAAGATTGTTAAAAAATAAAAAAAATTAAAAAAAGTAACTTAGTAACATTTAATTATTTTATAATACAAATAATTTTTTTTTTAAATATTAAAGGTAAAGTTATGCTTTTAACTTTATTAAAATTTAATTAAAGTTTTTATAA